CCCCAAAACCCCAAAACCCCAAAACCCCAAAACCCCAAAACCCCGAAATAAATATAACCCATTGAGAGGAATTATTATGGATTATACTAGAGACCAGTCATTTACACATTTTACTGCGAGTCTTCTTGTGCTTCTTTTTCTATCATCAAGAAGGTTCCTAACTTGAGATATTACTTGCTTCCTGTAGTCGAGCACCCTGTCGTCACCGGCTGTCAAAGCCAGATCTAGGCAAATTAGTATAGAATTTTTAGTTGGCATTTTTAACCTCTTTCCCAATGCTAGCACCAGACTTTTGGTTAGCTCTTTCATGTTGAGGCCGTTGATATTTTGGTTCTCAAGCAATTTCTGGATCATTTTTAGTCAAATTTTCTTGATAACTTGATCCTTAAGGCCAAGAGCATGGAGTATCAAAGGAAGGAGCTCCTCCATATGATCCTTGTAGAGCTCATATGCTGATTCTGAGCATATAGGGACGATCAGCTTGCTAATAAAGCCCAGCATGCTACGGTCTCCTTCTCCTGATGATACTAGCTGATAAATCTCTCTATAGTTCTCCATCAAGGCTGGAAATGCGATCGAGAACAATCTTTGTTTGTAAAATGGAGAAATATTAAATTTGTTCATTTTGGTAAAATCGTGAGGAGAAAGAAGAATATTCCAATATTTAGCAACAGAGTCAAGGGCTGCTCCAGTGCTTCCTTTGAGAGCTTTGATAATCTGCTGGACAACCTTATAGCTAGTTGGGGAGCCTTTAATAGCAAGCCCTTTAATGACTGAGAATGTTTGACCAATCGTACTATCCTCTATTGTGTTCAACTCTTCTTTTCCCGATTGGATTAATTCTAAAGTCGTAGTGATGATATTGTCAACAAGGTCATCCATCTCTTGAATATGTTGAGTGCACTTATTGATTAGTATGGAAAGACATTTATTCGACTCCTTCTTCAGGTTATTTAAGGCTGGTGTATTCACAGAATTTAGAGAAAGCATACTTAGGAACGAAAATACGTTGATAAATGTTTCATCGTTCCATATAGATATCTCTTTATATTTTAACAAATATTTTAGGATCTTGAAAATACTCATGTTTAGACAGTAGTAAGACTTTCTGTTTCAAACTTTATCATAACATTTAACTCTAGATTCAAATTGAGGAGCAAATTTGGTGAAGACTTCAATGATTCTACCAAGCAAAATTTCAGCTTTTTCATAACTTAAAGTCCTACAACTCTGTCTCAAAAGATGATAGAAAGGTTCAGCATAATCTTTTGACATGAATACTGGATCTTCAGATGCTTCAAAGACGTTCACACACTCAAGGAACACTTTTTCGATCATGTTTTCAACAATTTCGTCAGTTTCTTCTTGCCCTAGCTTATGATCATCAACCATTCTTCAGGCTGCATCTAGATATTCCCTAGTCCATTGTCTTTGCCATCCGTTGTCAACATATAAATTTGTGTAGAACTCATTAGCTCACATGAATAGAATGTCCCCTAAGGATTCCTTTGTTCTACAAAAGATTTCGATCTCAGTGAAGAACAACTCCACTGAATTTCCCAAAGAACTTTGAGCGGCGTACAGGTCATGCTCAGTGCTAGTCTCTGTCTTCAGTGATGAGAAGTCATTATATTGGAGCTGAATATCATCGTGGAAAACTTCGTGCACTTGGTATGGGAACTTCTTACTAATTTCGAGAATTTCAAGTAGGAAATCTCTGATAAAATCTATATTTCCTCTCTGTTTTCTGTATTCGAGTCGGATAAATGAGAGGACTCCTTTCATCTCTTCTTCAGTGAAGAACTGATTGGAACATAGGATCCTGAACAGCTTAGTTCCTTTGAGCTTGTTCGGTAAGAAGCTGCTCTCCAAACCTTTGGAGAGAGCTTGTATCATTGAGTCTTTATATTGCAAAATAAAATCAACAATTTGCTGCTTGTTAGAAATTTGCAATGGATACAGAGTATTGAGGATGTTGAATACTAGCTCAAGCCTAGAAGCAAAGGACATCTCTTCTTTTGAAATATTGATTACTTGGTTTTGGGTTCTAAAATTAGCTGAAATTGCTTACTCATTACTTAAAGGTACTAAGTTGATATGATCAATACTGAAATTAAAAATGAATCTTTGTACGATTACTAACACTAGGGATGAATTATTTCCGCATAATTTCTCATAACAGGTTGGATGCCATAATTCCTGTAAGAGTATCTGGATCTTGCGCCAATTCCTCCTCGCACTTGAGAAGGACAGCTTCCACCAGACGCTCTGTTATAGAATCAAACTCAAGGGTTTCGAATCTATCCTTAGAAATTATGAGAGAGTAACAGAGGAGCGAGATGGCATTGATTGATTCATTTTGGACAGTTACATCAAAAGAATTAAATCCTTCACTTTTTAAATTAGTCCATATCATTTCACAGTAATGCCTAATAACTTGGGTCGGCAGCTCATTGATCATTAGCTGGAGTGTCTTCAAACTCTCAGCTTTAGTGAAGGATTGGGGAGAAGCGAGTTTTTCGAGTATAAAGGGAATCGCTTTTGAAGCCATAAAAGGTGACGTAGCAAAGAAATAATTTAGTCTATCCTTCAGCTCTTTAGAAGTAATCTTAAATCTGTCATTATTTCGGTGGCTCAAATTCAATAGGATAATAAGATGAGATATTCTCAAATATATCGTTACAAAATGGTTCTAGAGTTTTAAACGAGTGTTCATCTTTGCCAAGTAAAAATAAAAGGATTCTTGGCAGTTCAAAAGAAACCAGTAAATTTCGTGGATCCTTTTCATTTTGAGTTGCTGAGACCACACAGGAGATTAGATCCACATAGGGGATTCTGAAAGGGTCAGAATCATCCAGATCTATCTCATTCATATCCTCTTCCTGTAATTTGAAGAAGTCTTTGTATTTATTGAGTAATGTTTCCAATAATCTCAGAGCCTCTGATCTTACCTTTTGCTTATAAGAAGGTATATGAATGCATCCTGGGGATAGAGAATCGATAACTATTCTTAAGCAACCTTCCCCATCCCTTTGACTTTGTTTTACCACTTGTGGATGAAATTTTAGCAGAGCATGCATACCTTTGAGAGAAGGCAAGATGCAGTTTTCATCTTTGAATTTCTTGCCGAAGAATTCTACTAGACCTGCTATTGCTTTAGAATCTAACCCAAGATTTGGTACTTCATGAATGACCCCTGTTATAACATTGATAGCCTTTGTCCTTTGTTCTGGATCTCCTCCAGTATGATATTTTTCCAAGCCAAGAATCACCTCCAAAAAGTTAGCTTTTCTGGAAGAGATTTGATCAAAAAGATCAAGCATACTAGTGTCTTCACTGCTTGTGACACTTGATGCACTTGTTTGAGAGTATTTACTCTTAACATCAGCATCGTTCATTATCTTGTCAATCAAAATTTCCATTTTCTAATTTTATAGACCCAATTATTACATAGAAACAAGGGGTTTTGGGGTTTTGGGGTTTTGGGGTTTTGGGG